ACATAGCCCAGGGATCTCGGGTTTTGATCCTATTCCCAGAGGATCTCCAGCTGAGGGATCCTGGGAATGGCCAGGTTTGATCCCATTCCCAGAGGGTCTCAAGTGTGGGATCCCGGGAATGGCTGGGTTTTGACCCCGTTACCAGAGGGTCTCCAGGTGTGGGATCCTGGGAACAGCTGGGTTTAGATCCCATTCCCAGAGGGTCTCAGGTGGGGGATCCCACATCACACAGGGATCCCGGGTTCTGACCCCATTCCCAGAATGTCTCAGGTGGGGGATCCCACATTGCACAGGTATCCTAGTTTCTGACCCCATTCCCAGAAGGTGTGCAGGATCCCACATGGCCCAGGGATCTCGGGTTTTGATCCTATTCCCAGAGGATCTCCAGCTGAGGGATCCTGGGAATGGCCAGGTTTGATCCCATTCCCAGAGGGTCTCAAGTGTGGGATCCCGGGAATGGCTGGGTTTTGACCCCGTTACCAGAGGGTCTCCAGGTGTGGGATCCTGGGAACAGCTGGGTTTAGATCCCATTCCCAGAGGGTCTCACGTGGGGGATCCCACATGGCCCAGGGATCTCGGGTTTTGATCCGATTCCCAGAGGGTCGCCATGTGCAGGATCCCACATGGCCCAGGAATCTTGAGTTTTGACCCCAATCCCAGAGGGTCTCAGCTGTGGGATCCCACCTGGCATGGGGATTCCAGTTTCTGACCCCATTCCCAGAGGGTCTCCGTGTGCAGGATCCCACATGGCCCAGGAATCTTGAGTTTTGACCCCAATCCCAGAGGGTCTCAGCTGTGGGATCCCACCTGGCATGGGGATTCCAGTTTCTGACCCCATTCCCAGAGGGTCTCCGTGTGCAGGATCCCACATGGCCCAGGGACCCCGGGTTTTGATCCCATTCCCAGAAGGTCTCCATGTGCAGGATCCCACATGGCCCAGGGATCTTGGGTTTAGATCCCATTCCCAGAGGATCTCCAAGTGTGGGATCCTGGGAATGGCTGGGTGTTGACCCCAATCCCAGAGTGTCTCAGGTGGGGGATCCTGGGAACAGCTGGGTTTAGATCCCATTCCCAGAGGGTCTCCAGCTGTGGGATCCCGGGAATGGCTGGGTGTTGACCCCGATCCCAGAGTGTCTCAGGTGGGGGATCCCACCTGGCACGGGGATCCCGGTTTCTGACCCCGTTCCCGTTCCCAGCTGGAGGAATTCCTGAACCACTCGTCTCCCATCTCCATCTGGGTGGACGGCGAGCGCCTGGACTCGCTGCTGGAGCGCGACGAGCGCCAGGAGCGGCAGCTGCAGGACCTGGAGGAGCGCTTCGGCCTCCTGGAGGACGGCGTCCAGGACATTCTCCAGGACAGCTCCCAGGTCCAGGGCCGCCTCCATCCCTTCTTCCAGGCGCCCTTCGGCGGCTTCCGCGAGGCGCTGCGGCCGCCGGTGCAGCGGCTGCGCTTCCCGCGCCGCTTCCGCCGCTTCGCCGGCCACTTCTTCCCGTTCTTCCCGCGCCGCCATGGCGGCTTCCAGCAGCTCTTCCAGCCGCTCTTCCAGATCACCCAGCGCATGCTGGAGGACGCCCAGGGCGGCTGGGAGAATCCCTCCGGAGAGTTCGAGACAGGTAGGAGGGAGGGAAGCGGGATCGACGATGGGGGATCCCAAATTCCGGTGGGTTTAGGGGAAAGAGGCGTGGAAAATCCTCGAAACTTCTCAGGATGCTGAGAAAAGATTCCCAGAAAATCCCTTGGAACTTTGGAGGATTCTGAGGATTCTGAGAAAAGATTCCCAGAAAATCCTTTGGAACTTTGGAGGATTCTGAGAAAAGATTCCCAGAAAATCCTTTGCAACTTCTGAGGATTCTGAGAAAAGATTCCCAGAAAATCCTCGAAACTTCTGAGGATTCTGAGGAAAGATTCCCAGAAAATCCTTTGCAACTTCTGAGGATTCTGAGAAAAGATTCCCAGAAAATCCTCGAAACTTCTGAGGATTCTGAGGAAAGATTCCCAGAAAATCCTTTGGAACTTTGGAGGATTCTGAGAAAAGATTCCCAGAAAATCCCTTGGAACTTTGGAGGATTTGAGAAAAGATTCCCAGAAAATCCTTTGGAACTTTGGAGGATTCTGAGAAAAGATTCCCAGAAAATCCTTTGGAACTTTGGAGGATTCTGAGAAAAGATTCCCAGAAAATCCCTTGGAACTTTGGAGGATTTGAGAAAAGATTCCCAGAAAATCCTTTGGAACTTCTGAGGATTCTGAGAAAAGATTCCCAGAAAATCCCTTGGAACTTTGGAGGATTCTGAGAAAAGATTCCCAGAAAATCCTTTGGAACTTTGGAGGATTCTGAGAAAAGATTCCCAGAAAATCCTTTGCATCTTTGGAGGATTCGGAGCATTCCCTAAAGGGAATTCCCATGGAAACCTGAGAATCAGGAGCTCCAATGGTGGTGGGCTGGGATTTGGGGTGTTGTCCCACCTTGATCCCAGCTGCCATCACAGGAATGGGGTTTTCTTGGGAATGTTGCAAATCCTTGGTTTTTCTGGGAATGCTGCTGATTTTTTTGGAGGGAATGTTACAGGTGTTTGGGTTTTTTGGAAATATGCAGTATTTTTTTAAGGAATATTGCAGGTGTTTTTTGGGGGGATATTGCAGGTGTTGTTTTTTGGGATTGCTGCCAATGTTTTTTTGCTGTTTTTTTTTGGGATTCCAGCCGATGTCTTTTTGCTGTTTGCTTTTTTTGGGATTACAGCCGATGTTTTTTTTGCTGTTTGTTTTTTTTTGGGATTCCAGCCGATGTCTTTTTGCTGTTTGGTTTTTTTTTGGGGATTGCAGCCGATGTTTTTTTTGGGAATGTCACAGCCGGTGCCGTCACCGTCTGCCAACGCAGTCCTGGGGACGGGAGGGGCCCAAATTCCAAGGAAAAATGGCTTTTCTGGCACCGGGGGGGGGACCTGCCAGGGCCGGGGGGGATTTGGGGAGCTGAGGCCGGCCTGGAATTCCCGCAGAATCCCGGAATTTCAGCGATGACCGGATGGTTTGCCGGGAGATCCGGCGGAACTCGGCCGGCTGCCTGGGAAGGGGGACGGGGATGGGAAAAGAGAATGGAAAACTGGGAATGGGGACAGGAACGGAGATGGGGACGGGAATGGGAACGGGGACAAGAACAGGGACAGGAACGGGGACGGGAACAGGAATGGGAACGGGGATGGGGACGGGGATGAGGATGGGAGTGGAGTGGGAATGGGAATGATGACAGGGATAGAAATGGGGATGGGAATGGGAATAGGGATTTGAATGGGGATGTGAACAGGAACAGGGATGGGGATTGGACTGGGGATGGCGGGCAGAGTTCAGGGTTTGGGGTGCATGGGGTAGGTGGGGGGCGTTTTGGGGTGCATTTTGGGGTCTGAGGGGATGGGATGGGACAGAATGGGACAGGATAGATGGGATAGGATGGGATGGGACAGGACGGGATGGGATGGGATGGGGTGGGATGGATGGGATGGGACGGGATGGGGTGGGATGAACCCCCAGGGCCATGCTGACCCCATCCCATCCCATCCCATCCCATCCCATCCCATCCCATCCCATCCCAGACTGCGGGCAGGAGGATCCCTCGCAGCAGGAGCTGCGGGAGCAGCTGGAGGACGCCGTGCGCGTGGCCGAGCGCTTCACGAGCCGCTACGATTCCCTGCTCCGGGAATTCCAGGAGGAAATGCTCAACACCTCCGGCCTGCTGGACCAGCTGAACCGCCAGTTCGGCTGGGTGTCCCGCCTGGCCAACCATTCCATGGGATCCGACGGCTTCCTGCAGGTCACCACGGTGAGCACTGGAGCCGGGATTGGGGCCGGGAACGGGGCTGGGAGCTGGGGAGGCAGAAAGTGGGACAGGGCCACAAAGGGCCCTTTGTGCTCCGGCCGGGAATCTCTGCTGTGCCGGATGCCGGGATGGGCCGGGAGCCAAGGTCAGGGGCCCTCCCGGGGCTCTCCCGCGGCCGCTCCGACTTCACAAGCTCAGAATCTGCCGTGGGATGGCCCCGGCGTGGCCGTTCCAGGTGCTGTCCAAGGCTCCGAATCCCGAGGATCCGTCGTCGCCGCCGGACACGCAGGTGACGGTGCAGCTCTTCGACTCGGAGCCGCTGGCGCTGACCGTGCCCGGGGACATCCCCTGGGACGACCCCCGCTTCATGGAGAGCGTGGCCCAGCAGGCGCTGCAGCGCTTCAAGGAGAACGCCATGTGAGGCCTTTGAGACTTCCCAAAAACCCCTCCCGTGGGATAGCAGCTCGTCCCGATTCGGGCTCATCCCGAATTTTCCCTCCTTCCCAGAGAGTAGCCGGGCAACGCCGCTGCCGCCGCCCCTCCGGATCCCCCTTCCCGGGGGGAATTGGCACCGTGGCTGCCAGCCCTCCCCTCCTGACCCTTCCTGCTGCCAGGAGCCTGCGGGGCCCCAGACGGAAAATAAAGGTAGAGTTGAACCCCCTGGCTCTGCCTCCGGAGTTTTTGGGATAATCCTGAGGGAAGAAGGAGGAAAAACAGCAAAAGGATCCATCGTGGTGGAAGTGTGGAGTGGAGGAATCAGGATCTGTTCCCAAATTTCATAAAGCAGGAGCCCCCCAGGATGGGGGACCTGTCCCAGTTCATGGACACAGATCCCAGTGCTAGGGCCTGTCCCAGTTCATGGATCCCAGTGCCAGGGCCTGTCCCAGTTCACAGATCGCAGTGCCAGGGCCTGTCCCTGTTCATGGATCCCAGTGCCTGTCCCAGTGCCAGGGCCTGTCCCCATTCCCTGGTGGCACCGAGGATCAGCCGGATCCCATCAGGAATGGATCTCCAGCCCCTCAGGAGCCAGGGAAGAGCTTCCCTGCCAGGGGAACTGCCAGGTCCTGATCCCCCTGGATGAGATCCTGGGGAATAAATCCTGTTGGGACACCCTGGGGGACAGTCCCTGTCCTCTGCCATCCCTGAGAATTCCCAAATTTCCACAGGATCCCCCACATGCCCCCATGAAATTAGCCAGAGGCAGAAGGTTTTTATTAGGAACATGCGTGGGGAGGGGGTGGATCCAGCCCCAAACTCATCCCAATCCCAATTCCATCTCAATCCCAATCCCCTGGGAATGGGGCAGAAGCTCCAGGAGAGCTGGCTGTGGCCTCAATCCCAATCCTATCTCAATCCCAATCCTCTGGGAATGGGGCAGAAGCTCCAGGAGAGCTGGCTGTGGCCCCAATCCCAATCCAATCCAATTCCATCTCAATCCCAATCCCCTGGGAATGGGGCAGAAGCTCCAGGAAAGCTGGCTGTGGCCCCACTCCCAATCCCAATCCAATTCCAACTCCATCTCAATCCCAATCCCCTGGGAATGGGGCAGAAGCTCCAGGAAAGCTGGCCGTGGGTCTGTATCCCACTGGGAAGAGCCGGCACAGCCTCTCCACCCCTCTCTGACATTCCCTGCAGGGACAATTCCCAATCCAAATCCCTGGGAACATTCCTGAGGGCAAATCCTGCTGGGACACTCTTGGGGACACTCCCTGTCCTTCACCATCCCTGATAATTCCCTGATTTCTGCAGGAACCCCCCAGAGATCCCCGTGGAATGGGCAGAGGGGCTTTATTGGGAACATGGGTTGGGAAGGGAGTGGATCCAGCCTCAAACCCACCTCAACCCCAATCCCAATCCCAATCCCCTGGGAGTGAGGCAGAGGCTCTGGGAGAGCTGGCTCTGGCCCCAGTTGCAATCCCAATCCCAATCCAATCCCATCTCAATCCCAATCCCCTGGGAATGGGGCAGAAGCTCCAGGAGAGCTGGCTGTGGCCCCAATCCCAATCCAATTCCATCTCAATCCCAATCCCCTGGGAATGGGGCAGAAGCTCCAGGAGAGCTGGCTGTGGCCACAGTCCCAATCCCTATCCAATCCCTTCTCAATCTCAATCCCAATCCCCTGGGAATGGGGCAGAAGCTCCAGGAAAGCTGGCTGTGGCCCCAATCCCAATCCCATCTCAATCCCAATCCCCTGGGAATGGGGCAGAAGCTCCAGGAGAGCTGGCTGTGGCCACAGTCCCAATCCAATCCCAATCCCAATCCAATCCCAATCCCCTGGGAATGGGGCAGAAGCTCCGGCAGAGCCGACCGTGGGTCCGTATCCCACCGGGAAGAGCCGGCACAGCCTCTCCACCCCTCTCTGACATTCCCCACGGGGACAATTCCCAATCCCGCTCCCCGGAACGCCGATCCCAATGAACACCCGCTCACCCCTGGCTGTTGTCACTGTCCCCATCCCCTCCCAGCAGCGCTTCCCTCTCCCCGTTATTCCCGCCGTCCCCGTTATTCCCGGCGCTCCGCAGGGCGCGGTGCAGGCCGTTGTAGAGCGCGGCCCCGGCCAGGAGCAGGGCGAATCCCGGGATTTGGAGGGGGTGGAAGCGCTCCCAGCGCAGCGCCAGGCTGAGCGCCCAGACCAGCAGCGTGCGCAGGCTGTCCAGCACGGTGCGCGTGGTCGCGCTCAGCTCCCGCGTCACGCTGATCCCCGCGAAGTTGAAGAAGGAGATGCTCCCCACGTTGCCCAGGAGCGCCGCCAGGATCAGGGGATCCCGGCGGATCTGGCACCAGGCGTCCGCCGGATCCTCCAGCGCGCCGCGAGGATTCCCGGAGAGCCGGCCCGCCGGGATGAAGGACAGCGGCACCAGCAGCAGCGCCAGGATGGAGAAGCCGAAAAGACCTGCGGGGGGAATTTCCCGTCTTTCCCGCGGATCCCGAGCGGCACCCCGGGAATTCCCGCCGGGGGGGATTTCGGGGATTTCGGGGGGAAGCGCGGACCTTCGGTGCCCACGGCGCGCAGCGGGTGGACGTCGTGGCTGAAGATGAATTTCTCCTCCAGCACCATCTGGATGGACACGATGCCTTGGGCCAGCAGGATCAGGAGGTCACCTGGGAAAAGAGGGAAAACCGGGATGACAACGGGGAAAAGAACAGGGAAAACAACAGGGAAAACTGGGATAACAACAGGGGAAAAAACAGGGAAAACAACAGGGATAATGACAGGGAAAATCGGGATAATGACAGGGATAACAACAGGGAAAACCAGGATAACAACAGGGAAAACAACAGGGATAACAACAGGGAAAACCCAGATAACAACAAGGAAAACAGGGAAAACAACAGGGAAAATTGGGAAAACAACAGGGAGAACAGGGAAAACAACAGGGGAAAACAACAGGGAAAATCGGGATAACAACAGGGAAAACAACAGGGATAACAACAGGGAAAACTGAGAAAACAACAGGAAAAACAGGGAAACAACAAGGGAAAAAACAGGGATAACAATAGGGAAAACCCACATAACAACAAGGAAAACAGGGAAAACAACAAGGGAAAACAACAGGGAAAATCGGGATAACAACAGGGAAAACCCGGATAACAACAAGGAAAACAGGGGAAACAACTGGGAAAACAACAGGGGAAAACAACAGGGAAAATCGGGATAACAACAGGGAAAACAACAGGGATAACAACAGGGAAAACTGAGAAAACAACAGGAAAAACAGGGAAACAACAAGGGAAAAAACAGGGATAACAATAGGGAAAACCCAGATAACAACAGGGAAAACAGGGAAACAACAGGGGAAAAAACAGGGAAAACAACAGGGATAATGACAGGGAAAATCGGGATAATGACAGGGAAAACAACAGGGAAAAAAACAGGGAAAACAACAGGGAAAACCGGGATAACAACGGGGAAAAGAACAGGGAAAAGAACAGGGAAAACAGGGATAACAACAGGGGAAAACAACAGGGAAAACAACAGGGATAATGACAGGGAAAACCGGGATAACAACGGGGAAAAGAACAGGGAAAACATGGAAAAGAACAGGGAAAACAGGGATAACAACAGGGGAAAACAACAGGGAAAAGAACAGGGATAATGACAGGGAAAATCAGGATAACAACAGGGAAAAAAACAGGGATAACAACAGGGAAAACCCAGATAACAACAAGGAAAACAGGGAAAACAACAGGGGAAAACAACAGGGAAAACAACAGGGATAACAACAGGGAAAATCAGGATAACAACAGGGAAAACAGGGATAACAACAGGGAAAACCCGGATAACAACGGGGAAAATCAGGAAAACAACAGGGAAAAGGAATAAAGGAGGAAAATGGGGGAAAAGTGACCCCCCCCATCCCAAGAAGTTTTCCCCCCATTCCAAGGAGCGATGAGTCCAGGGGCCAGCTGGAAACGTAATTAGGCTAATTAAAAAGTGAGATGGAGCTGGCTGGAAATACAATTAAGGCAGTAAAATACCGCACGTTTTAGTTAAGATTTTAAAGGAGTCGAGGAGTTAAGTGAGAAACGTGCAGGAATCACGGTTAAAGAGTGACAAAAATATCAGGAAAACTAAAATTAGGAGCGGCAGGGGATAGATGGAGCGTGGGAAAAGGGCAGGAGCCGTAAAAAAACCCGGCCTTAAGAATAATCTAAGAGTTAGGACAGGCTTAGACCATGAAGGTCCGAGTGGCCGTGGGTGAAGAGCTCACCGTGAGGAAGATGATTTTCTTCCTCCCATACGTCCAGTGCCTCATTTCAAAACCCCACCGGCCCAATCAAGGGAGCACAATTATGCAGAATATTCAGCTAATTACAACACAAAGGCAGGTAATCAATACGTGTTGTGTGTCCTTAAAAGCCTGGTGGATACGTAAAAACATTTTTGGATAAACAGAGCAGGAGTCTGCGAGTCCTCAGGCGTGGCTTTGGGAAATAATTCCAATATTCCGCTCGTGCCCATGCTGTAGTAAACACCCTTCTCTCCCGCTTTAATTAGTTGGGAAGTCGTTTGTCCGTGCTTCAGTGATCCCACCATCCCATGGAGTGATCCCACCATCCCAAGGAGTGATCCCACCATCCCATGGAGTGATCCCACCATCCCATGGAGTGATCCCATCAATGCATGGAGTGATCCCTCATTCCAAGAGTGATCCCATCAATGCATGGAGTGATCCCTCATTCCAAGGAGTGATCTCACCATTCCAAGGAGTTTCCCCACCATTCCAAGAAGTTTCCCCACCCTCCCATGGAGTGACCCCTCCCATTCCAGGGAGGGACGCCCCCCCGCCCCCCCCCCCCCCCCCATTCGAAGGAGTGACCTCGCCATTCCAAGGAGTTTTCCCACCATTTCAAGAAGTTTTCCCCTCAATTCCAAGGAGTGACCCCACCATTCCAAGGAGTGATCCCACTATTCCAACTTTTCCTGCCATTCCAAGGAGTGATCCCTCCCAATTCCATGCAGTGACCTTGCCATTCCAAGAAGTTTTCCCACCATCATGTGGAGTGATCCCCCCATTCCTAGGAGTGATCCCGCCACTCCAAGGAGTGACCCCAGCATTCCAAGGATTTTTCCTGTCATTCCCAGGAGTGATGCCACCATCCCAAGGAGTGACCCCACCATCTCAAGGCCATCCCACTGCCCTGGCATTCCCGGGATACCCGCGATGCCAGCCCGTGCTCCGGCATTCCCGGGATACCAGCCCATGTCCCAGTGCCCTGGCATTCCACGATGCCGGCCCGTGTCCCAGTGCCCCGGCATTCCCGCGGTGCCAGCCTGTGCTCCGGCATTCCCGGGATAGCAGCCCATGTCCCAGTGCCCCGGCATTCCCGGGATATCCGTGATGACGTCGGCCAGCCCATGTCCCACTGCCCCGGCATTCTCACGGTGCCGCCCGTGTCCCGGTGCCCCGGCATTCCCGGGATACCAGCCCGTGTCCCGGTGCCCCGGTATTCCCGGGGTACCCGTGATGACGTCGGCCAGCCCGTGTCCCACTGCCCTGGCATTCCTGGGATACCCATGATGACATCGGCCAGCCCGTGTCCCAGCGTCCCGGCATTCCTGCAATGCCAGCCCGTGTCCCGGTGCCCCGGCATTCCCGGGATACCCGTGATGACGTCAGCCAGCCCGTGTCCCAGTGCCCCGGCATTCCTGGGATACCCATGATGCCATCAACCAGCCCGTGTCCCAGCGTCCCTGCATTCCTGCGATGCCAGCCCGTGTCCCGGTGCCCCGGCATTCCCGGGATACCCGTGATGACGTCAGCCAGCCCATGTCCCAGTGCCCTGGCATTCCCGGGATACCCACGATGCCATCAACCAGCCCGTGTCCCGGTGCCCCGGCATTCCTGCGGTGTCAGCCCATGTCCCAGTGCCCCGGCATTCCTGGGATGCCAGCCCGTGTCCCGGTGCCCCGGCATTCCCAGGATACCCGTGATGCCATCAACCAGCCCGTGTCCCGGTGCCCCGGCATTCCCAGAATACCAGCCCGTGTCCCAGTGCCCCGGCATTCCCGGGATACCAGCCCGTGTCCTGGTGCCCCGGCATTCCCGGGATACCCGTGATGACGTCGGCCAGCCCGTGTCCCGGTGCCCCGGCATTCCCGGGATACCCGTGATGACGTCGGCCAGCCCGTGCTCGGTGCCGCCGTTGCCGCGCAGATCCGCCAGCCCCACCAGCACCAGCCCCAGGATGGTGAGCAGAATTCCCGACCAGTGGCTCCACTCCAGCCTCCGGCCCAGGAACGCCACGGAGAGGAGCCCGGTGAAGATGATGAGGGAGCCCCGGAGCATCTGGAAGCTGGAGGCGCTGGTCATGTTCAACGCTGCGGGAAAACGGCGGGAAAAGCGCTCAAGGCCCGACGGAAACTTCCAGAAATTCCGCCATTTACGGGATTCCGTCGGATCCCGGCGGGAAAAGCGGGAATTCTGCGGCGGACTCACCCACGTACATGATGCTGGTGCCCGCCATGTCGCACAGGGCAGGGGGCAGGAAGAGCAGCGGGTTGAAGGGTCGGGATGGCGCCGGGGCCGGATCCGGATCCGCGCGGCGCCGATCCCGCAGGAGCAGCAGGTAGAACACCGGGAGGCAGGAAAGCTCCCCCAGGAACATCCCGGCGGCCTGAGGGACACGGGGCCGGGCTGGGAATGTGGGGCTGGGAGCTGGGGCAGGGGCTGGAAGGTGGGAAAGGGATCGGTGGTAGGAAAGGGGGCTGGGAATGGGAATAATGGGATTCACCTGTAGGAATGGGGCTGGGAATGGGAATAATGGGGTTCACCTGTAGGAATGGGGGCTGGAAGCTGGAAAAGGGGCTGGAAGCTGGAATGGGATTGTCACCTGCAGGATTTGGGGCTGGAAGCTGGAATAAGGGGGATCACCTGCAGGATTGGGATTGGAAACAGGAATGGGGCTGGAAGCAGGAATGGGGCTGGAATTGAGAATCTCACCTGCAGGAAGGGATTGTAATTGGGAATGGGGCTGGAATTGGGAATGGGGCTGGGATCCGGAATCTCACCTGCAGGAATGGGGCTGGGGTCGGGAACGGGGCTGGGGTCGGGAATCTCACCTGCAGCAAGGGGTGTTGGGAGGGAATGGGGCTGGGGTCGGGAATGGGGCTGGGGTCGGGAATGGGGCTGGGATCGGGAATCTCACCTGCAGGAAGGGGTGCTGGGGTCGGGAATGGGGTTAGGGTCGGGAATGGGGTTAGGGTCGGGAATCTCACCTGCAGGAAGGGGTGCTGGAATTTGTGCTCCGCCGTGCCATCGCAGCCCGGAGCGCTGAAGTTGTCGGCCCACCTGGGAGGGGCCAGGGCAGGGATCGGGATCGGGATCATCATCCCGAAATCCCGAAATGCCGAAACTGAGGGCCGAGCCCTGGGCCAGCAGCGCCCCCAGGTGACACCTCCGGCCGGGATGTCCCCAGGGAAGGGGACACGGCTGGGGCTGTCCCGGCCTGAGCCAGCCTGGCTGGGATCCCGGGATTGAGTGACAGCCGGGAAAGGGACACCGGGAATGGGACACCCCATGTCCCCAAAACTCCGGATCCTGAGGGACACCAGATCCATAAAATCACTGGATGCCCCAGCCCCAATTTGGGGTAAATCCCCCGTTTTTTTCGGGAGCTCCAACCCCCCATTGGCCAAAGCAGGAGCCTTTGGATGCGGATTTCCGATTCCACAGACCCCAAATGTCCTCAAATCCAGCCGGGAATGTCCCCGACCCCCACGGGACCCCTCCCATCCCGGTTTTCCGCCAATCCCGGGGCATTCGGGGCTGACTCATTCCCGGGGTGTCGCAAGAGGCTTTTTTGGGACCTCACGTGTCCCCTCCGCCTCAGTTTCCCTTTCCGGTGCTGGGAACGGCCGGGATCCCGCCGGGATCCCCGCGGGATGAGCCGGCCTGGCAGGTCCGCCCTGCCCGGGCAGATTTTGGGATGGCCGCGGGTTGGGAATGACGTCACCGCCGCGCTCCCCGGGATTTTGGGGTGCGGGAGGAGCCGCACGGGGAGCCGGGGGGGGGCGGGGCTCCACCCCAAAACGGGCTGGAGGAGCCCAAATTCCTTCCCCAACCCCAAAAGGATCCCCCCGCCTTGGGGGTGGGGACAGCGAGGTGACCCCAAACCCCCCGGGGGGGGGCAGGGAGGGGACAAACCGCGACACCGCCGGGCTCGGGGGGCGGGGCGCGGGGGATTTTGGGGGATTTTGGGGGGATTTTGGGGGACTCACTTGGCCGCCAGGGTGTTGATGGAGCCGGTGAGCAGCATGAGCGCGGCCAGGCCCAGCTGGTACCGGGACCACGCCATGGACCCCCGGCACCGGGACACGCCCCCGGACACGCCCACAGCGGGGGGACACGCCCACAGAAAGGACACGCCCACAGAAAGGACACGCCCACCGAGCGCGCCCCCGCAGCCCAATGCCCCCAAAGGCCACGCCCCCAAGGGGAAAAACCCCGCCCCTGCCTGAGATGGCCACGCCCATAGAGCAATGGGAGGGAAGTGTGTGGGGCCACGCCTCCTTATTTGCATATACACGCCCCCACCTCCATCTGCCTCTCCGGTGCCGCCGGTCCTGGGAATTCTGTCCTGGAATTCTGTCCCGGGGATTCCGTCCCGGCAGTTCCGTCCCCAGATTCTGTCCCGGGTTTCTGTCCTGGGAATTCTTTCCTGGAATTCTGTCCTGAGAATTCTGTCCTGGGAATTCTGTTCTGGGGATTCTGTCCTGGAATTCTGTCCTGGGGATTCTGTCCCGGCAGTTCCGTCTGGGGAATTCTGTCCCGAGATTCTGTCCCGGGATTCTGTCCTGAGAATTCTGTCCTGGGAATTCTGTTCTTGGGGGTTCTGTCCTGGGGATTCTGTCCTGGGGATTCTGTCCCTGCAGTTCTGCCCCGGGAATTCTGTCCTGGGAATTCTGTCCCGAGGTTCTGTCCCGGAATTCTGTTCCGGAATTCTGTCCTGGGAATTCTTTCCTGGAATTCTGTCCCGGGGTTCTGTCCCGGAATTCTGTCCTGGAATTCAGTCCCTGCAGTTCTGCCCCGGGAATTCTGTTCTGGGGATTCTGTCTCAGAATTCCCAATCCCGGGAATTCCCACCCAGGGGATCCTGTCCCGGGAGTTCGGGATTCTGTCCTGAGAATTCTGTCCTGGGAATTCTGTCCTGGGAATTCTGTTCTGGGGGTTCTGTCCTGGGGATTCTGTCCTGGAATTCTGTCCCTGCAGTTCTGCCCCGGGAATTCTGTCCTGGGAATTCTGTCCCGAGGTTCTGTCCCGGAATTCTGTTCCGGAATTCTGTCCTGGGAATTCTTTCCTGGAATTCTGTCCCGGGGTTCTGTCCCGGAATTCTGTCCTGGAATTCAGTCCCTGCAGTTCTGCCCCGGGAATTCTGTTCTGGGGATTCTGTCTCAGAATTCCCAATCCCGGGAATTCCCACCCAGGGGATCCTGTCCCGGGAGTTCTGCCCCGGGAATTCTGTGTCCTGAATTCTGCCCCGGGAGTTCTGTCCCGGGAATTCCTATCCCGGTGGTTCCTGTGGTTCCTGTCCCGGTTCCCGGTTCCTGCCGCCGTCCCCTTGTCGCGTGTCCCCCCCGTGTCCCCCCCGTGTCCCCAACGTGTCCCCGCGCGCCCGGCAGGTGGCGCTGTCGGAGCGGGGCCGGGATCGCCGGGATCCATTCGGGACCAGCAGGGCCCGCCCGGGATAAACCCGGGATAAACCTGCCCGGGATAAACCCGGGATAAACCTGTCTGTGATAAACCTGCCCAGGATAAACCTGCTCAGGATAAACCTGGCTGGGATAAACCCAGGATAAACCTGCCCAGGATAAACCCAGGATAAACCTGCCCAGGATAAACCTGGCTGGGATAAACCCGGGATAAACCTGGCCAGGATAAACCTGGGGTAAACCCAGCATAAACCTGCCTGGGATAACCCCAGGACAAACCTGTCTGGGGTAAATCTGCTCAGGATAAACCTGATTGGGACAAACCCGGGATAAACCTGCCCGGCATAAACATACCTGGGATGAACCCGGGATAAACCAACCTGGGGTAAACCCAGGATAAACCTGCCTGGGATAAACATACCTGGGATGAACCCGGGATAAACCAACCTGGGGTAAACCCAGGATAAACCTGCCTCTGGGATAAACCTGCCCAGGATAAATACCCGGGATAAACCCAGGATAAACCTGCCTGGGATAAACCTGCCCAGGATAAACCTGGGGTAAACCCGGGATAAACCTGCCCGGGATAAACCCAGGATAAACATACCTGGGATAAACCCAGGATAAACCTGCCTGGGATAAACCTGGGATAAACCTGCCCGGGATAATCCCAGGCAGCTCCTTCGCCGCCCTGTTCCCCCACCCCGGGCCTCCCCGGCAGCCAGTGACGAGTTGTTCTTCCAGCCCTTTCCCTTCCCTTTTCCATCTCTTTTCCAGGCCTTTTCCACTGCCCAGGATAAACCCAGGATAAACCTGCCTGGGATAAACCTGGGATAAACCTGCCCGGGATAATCCCAGGCAGCTCCTTTGTCGCCCAGTTCCCCCACCCCGGGCCTCCCTGGCAGCCACTGACGAGTTGTTCTTCCAGCCCTTTCCCTTCCCTTTTCCATCTCTTTTCCAGGCCTTTTCCATCCCTTTTCCAGCCCTTCCCATGGCAGGGAGTGCAAATTCCCAATCCAAGGGCTTGGCCAAGGTGGGGATTGGGATGGGATTGGGATGGGATTAACTCTTCCCATACCTGGGGGGTGTTGGACAGATGGGGGGGG